GCAGACCGCCCTGGCGGACTCGTTTACACTTCCAAGCTCAAGCCAGGCGCCGCAGGCCATGAAGAGGAGCGCAGATGAAAATGGCGCCGCAGGCTCCCCGGGCCGTCCGCGCACAGACCACAGGAAGAAAACAAAAATCTATAAAACATCTATCAACACCACTAAGGGGGTGGGTGGGCTCCGATCTCCTCATCTCCAATACTCTCTCATCCACAGCGTCTTAGGCCGGGGATCCAGTCAGATCTCCGATCTCCATCTTCAATCTCCAATCTCCCAACGTCGTCATCTTAGGCCGGATTCAGTCAGATCTCCGATCTCCATCTCCAATCTCCAATCTCCAATCTCGATTCGGGGGCCCGGGGGAGGAGGGGGGCTCAAACCTTCAAGGAGATGCGCTATGGATTCATTGACACTGACCACCTCTCATCTCCAATCTCCAATCTTCTACTTAGCCACTGTCGCCGCCGGCAGCAATCTACGACCTCCATTTTCAATCTTCGATCTCACATCTGGGGCGGATGGCTGGGCGCTAGGATCTACAATCTGCATTCTCCATCTCCTATCTCCCACATTTTGGCCCGTGTTGCTGCTCAGCGATCTGCAATCCACAATCTCAATCTTCGTTCTTTAGTCTTGAATGGGGAACCGGACAGGAGGGATCTACTGGCGAGACTTGGGCGTGTCCGTGTGAGAGATCCGCTAGGATCTCCAGTCTTAATCTACTGTCTCTACCCCCACGATCTACTGTTCTTGCGCAGAGATTTCCATTACTCGAGAGAGAGAGAGAGAGAGAGAGTTGTTTGTTGTTGTGTTTGTGTTTGCGTTTTCCGGTGCCTACAAAAAATTTCCATGGAGCTGAACACAGGGTTTGCGGCGGTCACTGTCTACCAGCGGGCACAGTGGGCCGCGGACACCCGTTAATGACCAAAGCGAAAAGGCAAAAAGGTCCAAAAAGAAGAAATCCTCTGTCCCCCGCGTGCTCAAGCCGCTTCAAGCCGCTTCGACGCTGATGCCGACGCGAAAGCTCGCCAACCCGCTGTGGGCGTTCGCCTTCCCCACAATTATTATCGCGGCTGTCGTCGCCGCTGCTGCCGCACGCCGCCTCCACCGCCACCACCGCCGTGGCCTCTGCCGCTCGCGCTCGCCTGCTGGGACCTTCACGCTCGGGTACTGGGACATCCGCGGGCTCGCGGCGCCAGCGCGGATGATGCTGGCGTACAGAGGAGCCGCCTTTGAGGACCGCATGTACTCTCTGCAGCCGCAGGAGGACGGCGGCTGGGGCGCCCCGGCGTGGTTTGACACGGACAGGCCACCGTTGCGCGAGCGAAACGCCTTTATCAATCTGCCGTACCTCGTCGACCACGAGAGTGGGATCGTCGTCTCGCAGAGCACTGCGCTGTACCAGTTCCTCGGGCGCAAGCTGGGCCTGATGGGCGAGAACGAGGCCGAGCGCGCGGCGACGGAGCAGACGTTGGCGCAGGTGCCCCCCCCCCCA